TAGGACATTTAGGGTAATGCACATGCCAGACTTTGAAAACATGCTGTTTAAAAAAGAAATAAATATCTTTATTAAGTTCTTTGTGATTTCCAAGAAGAGACAAGGTCAGATTGTTTTTGTTGCTCTGGATTTATTATAAGAACACATGAAAAGAAAATAGCTGGGGAAACATCCTTGGCAGCTTGACATTTATTTTGGATTTCAGACTTCCAAGCTCATATAAATGATCTCATGGAGAATAGGAGCCTGAGCTCAGTATTATTTAAAGAATTGGAGCTAGACTCCAGTAGCTTGCTTCTTCCTGTGTACCTAGAATTTGTACTTCCCAGAGAGAGGATTTGATTAGGATGAAGTACCAACTCAGGGAGCAGTTGCTTCTCTTGTATCTGATCTCCACAGAATGACCTTGGCACAGATACCATTCACTGTCCCACCAAAGAAAGCCAGTGATGTTTTGTTGATGCTGCAGATATGACATAGGCAATCATATTCCAGAGAAACCACTTGGTCAGTGATATATAGTAATTTAGGACCACTGTGTAACAAATGAAACAATAAATCTAATGTGCTTAGGACATATTTGTCAAATAGTAAATACTAAAAGAATAATAACCACCATTATTATAGTGCCTGAAAAGGAACTATTTGCATGACAGGTGCCTAGAGTTTCATAGATTCTTTTTATAGTACATTATAATTTTGGAATTGCTTTTCTACAAGAAGCATACTGTGAAAGACTCTAAGTGCTGGTATAAAATAAACTTCTCTCAAAATTACTAAACCGTTTTTCAAAATTTAAAATAAAACAAAATGTAGAGACCTAGAGTACTTGCTAGAGTAGATTAAGTCATACCGTGGTAAAAATTTGTTCCCAAATGCCAGTGGCTTAACACAGCAAAGATATATTTCTTGCTCATATAATCTGCAGATCGGTGACCATGCCATGTTTGAAATCTGAATGCCACATTTGACTACCAAGTAGGCCAAAATGCTTCAATATTTTGACATCATCATCATCTCAAAGTCTCACTCCTGGAGAATAAAAAAATTTGCAAGCTCACACCCATACTATATACTGCACATTGAGTAATATCTATTAATTCCATGCATAGTCAGTTGTTCAGAGCTAGTCACATAACCTCAGCTTCAGCTAGGTGCAGTGGGAAGTGTGGAGAAGCTATCCAGTGAGTATACAATTCTGTTGTCACACTCAGCTTCCTCATCTTAAAACTAGTCATGCTCACAATAATGCATAGGATTATTATGAGTCAGTGATATATAGTAATTTAGGACCACTGTGTAACAAATGAAACAATAAATCTAATGTGCTTAGGACATATTTGTCAAATAGTAAATACTAGAAGAATAATAACCACCATTATTATAGTGCCTGAAAAGGAACTATTTGCATGACAGGTGCCTAGAGTTTCATAGATTCTTTTTATAGTACATTATAATTTTAAGGATCACTTCAAAACAATTTCATGATCTTTAGATATTATTTTTATTTCCTCCATCTATTTTTTCCTTGGTGATTTTACTTTCATCTGATTGAATGACATTTTGACAATAGTTTGAAACACTTGAGCATTTGATTTTATCATAATAACTGAAAACATTGTTTTCAAGAGGGAGCTTGGTTTATGACTGCAGGTACTGATGTATTTGGATTAGACTTAAATATTGGATGTCAGGAAATTTTTAACTAAAATTTTATGCTCTTTCCATAGATTTAATGGGCCATTCTTACTCAAATTCATTCAAGTCAACATGTTTATTTTGTGCATATAACTGTGTTCTAGAAGCTACAAAGATGAATCAGGCATATCTGTTGCCTCAAAAAGTTACAATATTGATGACTAGCTAGAAAAATATATACATAGTGAAAATACATGCAGATTAAGTTCTAAGGGTCAGTAAAATATATAATATTCAGCCAGGTAGCCATGGAAGGTAACTCAAAAGAGAAGGGTTTTAGAGATAATGTCAATAGACGTACAGGATTTCGGAAGGTGGAGAGAGCAGTCCCTATCCTAGAAACAAAGAATGTTATGATGTACACTTGGAAAAAATAGACTAAGCTCATGTAAAGGACTCTTGAAGACTATAGTGACAAATATTGCTTAACCTGCTAAGTAAAGTGGATCTGCAGAAACTTTATTTTTATTTCTTTCACATACCATAGCCAGGTTTTACATAGACAAAAATTTCCCTACTTTAAAAAAAAAACTAGAAAGTTCCTGAATTTAACATTTTTCCCATAAAAAATATGAGACGTCATGTCTCCAAAAACTGTTTGACCTCGTACTACCACTTTTTCTTCTGAAATATTTTCCAATTAACCTTCAGTCCATTCTAAACCTGGTAAAACAAATGAAACAATGCACCCAGTATAGATGGTAAGAGCTAATGTGTATGTAAGTTAATGCTGCAGCTTTCCATTTTTCTTTCTGAGATTTTTGGGAGCTTTGAAGGAGTGGGGAGAAAATCAAATGAAGGATTTTTGAAAATAGTCAAAATTTTCCAAATAGAAAACTGTTTAAAATAAATTAATGGAAGGCCTGATTTTTGCATGTATAAGAAAGTTACCAGTAAGATTTCTTTACTTGTTGGATCTGTCATATAGAAGGATGATGTGATTAGTATATTCAACCTTAATATTTGGAAAACTGACTAGATTAAATATAACATGACAATAGTTTGAAATTATATTTGGCTGACGTGTTTGATGTTGATTTGTGAAGAACAGTGTCACCAGAAAAAGTTTTATTGTATCTGGAGAAATTAGGCCTTAGAAAGAATTCTTTTCAAAATAATTCCTTGTTGAATTGTAAATGCATTTCTTTTTGTTACAAGCCACTGGAAACAGGACAGTTATATTTTCATTTGGTAATAACCTTTTTTAAAAAGTTCTGGTTGAATATTTTTAAAATAACTGCTAATTATGTACAGCAGTGTCCTGCAGCAAACTCTAGACCATGCATTTTAAATATCAAGTAATAATATAAATTATACTGAGTCTTGTTATAATTACATGTGTCAAAAAACAGAGCAAATAAGGATAAATATTAACTTTAATCTGTTTACATATATAAATAGATGTATATAGGTGCCTGAATAAAGGTTGCAGTGAAAATATTATTTCTGAATGCATCAGGCTTTAGTTTTGTTATACATTGATGGCACACTATAAGGGACATGAGCAAAAATAATGGAGGCTTTTCATTTTTTGCAATGGATTATTTTCTGCTATTCATTTGGCAGAGGCCTATAATAAACTTGATTGTTTCTTTTGGCTTTGTTTCAGTTCAAAACTGGAAATCATGGTTGCTTCTGAGTCACTTAATGCTATTGTACTTAGAACCATTATGCTCTTGTCATTTCGCAAAATTATGTATGAGAAATGATTCTCAGCAAGCATTCTTGGACATGGGAAAGAATTTCTACTATTTAGCTAAACAACATCAATTTCAGTTTGTACTCAGTGTAAATGCAAATACCTAAACACAATGTTGTTAACGAATAAGTGACAACCTACAGAATGAGAGAAAATATCTTTAAGATATACACTGACAAGGGGTTAATGTCCAAAATACATAAGGAACTCAAACAATTTAACAGCAAAAAATCAAAAAACCTTTTTAAAATGAGCAAAAGATTGAAGTAGAAATTTCTCAAAAAGAAAAAAAGAGAAACTGTCAACAGGTATATAAAAATATTAGTCCACATCACTATACATCAAGGATATGTAAATCAAAACCACGATGAGGTATCTCCCAGTTAGAAAGGCTATTATCAAAAGACAAAGATAACAGGTATTGGCATGGATGTGGAGAAAGGGGAACTCTTACACACTATCAGAGAAAATGTAAGTTAGTACAGCTACTATGAAAAATCATATGGAAATTTTGCAAAAATTCAAAATAGAACTAACATATTTTTTGGCAATTTTTCTACTGAGTTTATATCCAAAAAATGAAATCAGCATGTCCAAGAGATACCTACACTCTCATGTTTATTCACAATAGCCAAGACGCAGAATCAATCAAAGTGTACATTGATAGGTGAACGAATAAGGAAAATATACAGAACTGAATAAGAAAATGAATACAGAAATTAAGAAATAAGAAATGAATAAGGAAAATATACAGAATGAAATACTATTGAGTTATAAAAGAAAAAGAATTCTGTACTTTGTAACCACATGAATGAACCTGGAGGACATTATGTTAAGTAAAATAAGCCAGGCACAGAAAGAGAAGTACCTCATGATCTCACTCATATGTGGAATCTTAAAAAGTTTATATTATATAAGGTAGAGAGTATAATGATGGTTACCAGAAGCAGAGGTGGTTGGGGAGATAGAGAGATGGGAAGATATTGTTGGTCAAAGGATACATAATAAGATGGAGGAAAATGTCATGAGATCTATTGTGCAGCAAGGTGACTATAGTTAAGGGTGATATATTCTATTCATAAAAAAATGTAAGAAAGTGGTTATTTGTTATGTGCTCTACCCACAGAAAAGATAAATGTTATTTTAAAAGGATAACTAGAGGTAATGCAGTTGTTAACTAGCTAGATTTAACCATTTCACAATGTGTGTATGTGTGTGTGTGTGTGTGTGTCTATAAAATGCTGTATATATCATGAATGTATATATTATATACTTTATGTTGTGCATGATAAAAACATAGAATGTTATCTGTCATCTTAGTAAAATTTAAAAACAAAGATGGTATTGTTGATGAGAATATACTGACATGCTATATTGTTAGGAATGTCTATAGAATGTTTTTTCATAATTAAAGGCATGTTCTTATTAGTTTTAAAAATGCTCTCTTTACCAACATTGTGATATATTTATAATCTGAGATGTATTATATTAATAACTGTCAACTTGAGATAAATGCAGATGCTTTCCTTCTAAAAATGACTGTGTTATTTTAAAAAGGTATAAAATTTTTAAATCTTTTTTGCTTCTTTACTTCTGATTAAAGGAATCCTACAAGTTTCTCAGACAGTTGACTTTCCAGAGTGAAACTTTATAGAAAGAAGCCTGATATGGTAATTGAAGGGGGATGCTCTTAAAGATATGAACTATTTGGTGAGTTCAGGATATGCCATCTCAAAGCCAAGGTGACAGAATGGAATAAGGATATACAGCTTCCAAGTTGTTCTTCAAGCTCATCTCCAAAAGGGTAAAATCTCATTTTATTATATTTGATAATATATTTAAAAATAGCAACAGCTTATTGAGAGTTGCTATGTTTTTCTTACTTGATTTATTATTATTCCACTAATCCATATTAAGTTTAATTTAAATGCTTTTGAAATTTTCACATATAATCAGCTCATTTTCTAGAAATTCTGTTTTCTTCTGTTGAGCTGTAGGTCAGCTCTCTTACTCAGTGCCATATAGTTGAAATTACAGTAGATTTGTGTGGTATTTACTTTTCAGTAATCATAGGGCATTCAATAATCTATCTATTTCTTCCCTTTCTTTCACCAAATATTTTCCACATACCTGCTCTCTTTTGAGCCTGATTCCTGAGGAATTGAGGAAGCTCTTATGTTCATAGTATGCCATTATGATATATATTCCCACATAGACATCATTGCTCCCCATTGAGGTGCTCTGAGAAAGTCATACCTTCTGCCCATCTGCACATTTCCTCTTTATTTTTTCTACTTGAAGCCATACATCCCATTCCAACCCCTTCCTCACCCATAGTTTTCAGCTCAAATGAGAACTTTTTGTTTCAACTAGTGCAAGTCATTCATTGAAAGGGGTAATAACTCAGTAGGGATCAAGAAATGACTAGAAAAATGGTTAAGAACAGAGTTATATTTTCCAAGTAAAAGGAGAACAAACATGAGAAAATAACTAAAGGTACACTAAGTTTCATGTCTGGATAAACGTCGATTTCATCATTTGGTCTTCATGCCTAACAACTCTCTTAAGGAATAACGTCAGGGCAAATCTGAAGTCTCCTCATGCATGCATAAATTAACTTTCATTCTCATTTACATGCAATAACCAGTAGATGCTCCTGGAAACTAGCTAGCAAAATATACGTTACTCTCAGCCATTGTAAACATCTACTCACATTTCTTCCAAAAAAGCATTTTCTTATAAAGCTCTATTAGGAGTTGGCATACTCTGTAGCATTTTGTTATAAGAAGTTGTTTGAAAAGTCGTTGGTAGTCTGCCCCACATTTGTTGAAAGAATTACCATATTTGTACCTACAGGCAATTTTTCTGTCTGACATATTTTCTTCAAAACAATGATTTCCAAAAATGTAGTTGTGCATTACAATGCTCAAGGGAGTTTTACAAAAGCTAGATGAGTAGCTATCTAGATTTGGTGAATCAGGATTCCTAGGTTGGGAGCAGTCATCTGCATTTTTATCATGATGTGTGTATTAGTCCGTTCTCACACTGCTATTAAGAATACTATGGGAGACTGGGTAATTATAAAGAAAAGAGGTTTAATTGACTCACACTTCTGGAGGCTTAACAGGGAGTGTGACTAGGAGTCCTCAGGAAACTTAAACCATGACAGAAGGTGAAGAAGAAGCAGGCACCTCCTTTGCAAGGTGGCAGGAGGGAATGTGTGAGAGAATGAGGAAGTGACACACTTTAAAGCCATCAGCTCTCATGAGAACACACTATCACAAGACAAGCATGCAAGGAAACTGCCCCCATGATCCAATCACCTCCCACCTGGTACCTCCACTGACACACAGGGATTATAATTCAAAATGATATTTGGGTGGGGACACAAAGCCAAACCATATCACTCTGTGACCGGGATCTCAAAAACACTACTCTGAGTCTTTTTATGCCCATTATGAACATCTTAGATGAATAGATCTTAAACCTAGTCAGTTATCTAAATCATCTTGGGAGCTTTTAAAATACGTAATATTTGCAGGTCCCATCCGCAAAATCATGGTTATGTAGATCTAAAGATGGTCAACCAGAATCTGGAATTTACAAAAGCATCTCAGATGATGCTTGTCAGACTATATTTAAGAATGCCGCCTTGAAAAATATCAATAACAATCTTATCTGTAGTATTCTGAAGGTTTAGAAAAATCCAAGTGTGGGAATCATCTGATTTTTTTTAAATGCACAGAGTAAATGAAAGTATTTGACTGCTTAAATGTGAAAATGTAAAATATCTATTATTTACATTTCTTAAAAATAATGTTATTACACTGTTGTATTTTTTAAAAATATGTGCCAGATTTTCATTGCAATGTTTAGTACATTTTACCTATTACAAATATGTATATGTATACAAATGGAATGAAGTGGTTCTCCTTCCTAGTTATTATATTACCCTGTTCAATCCCTGAAAAACTTACCAGAATGTTTTATTTATTTGTTCTTATGTCTTTTCTTAGAATATTAACTCCATGAGGATAAGAACTCTATGCTATATTCACTAGTGCACTAGTGCACTCCTAGGGCCTAGAGCATTGACTGGTACATGGTTGATGCTTAATACATATTTGTTGAAAGAACAGATGTACATTATACGTGTATATAATATTTATGTATAGATAGTATATGCAAAACATATATCTATATATGAAATTGACATATTAATCAATCATTTGTACACATGCACACGTACACAATATAGGTATGATTTCCTAGCTGCTAACAAAAGCACATTTTATTAATCATGAAATTTCTCTTATACACAAAGGCATTTGAGTCTCTTGCAAATCCCAAATGAAAAGGAAATTTAGTAGTCAAAAATATAACTTCATTTATTTCATCTGAGAGGGACCTGCAGGCTGTGATTTGGTTTTTCTATTAGCATTTTTTAAGAGGAGTCACACTGCTCCTCAGGTGTTATGAATCACTCACACTTAATGTACTACCTGAAGAGCAGCTGAATTATCCTGGAATCACGGTGCCTCACAAGGAATGTGTCAACTATTTAATCTTCATTCACATGATGGAAAGTGTAGTTAACGACACTGTTATATTGTCACATTGCCGAACTTCAGAATCAAGTCACTAAAAATATTTTCTCACTTTGTAAGATAGTGAGGATTCTAAAAGCTTGACTCTAAAAAACATCTTTAAAAGATGAGGTCTTTATGACTGCATATTTTGTTTCTGGGCAGTAACCTTTCCAACTGAAGAGTATATTTCAGAGGTATTCAGCTTAGGGGATTCTTGGTTCCTCAGACAAGTTAGAGCACTGCGTGTGCCTCTGCATGAGGAGACTAATGTAGGTAGGGCACACTCATTATTTTCTTCACTTACACATTCATTTATTACACAATCTTCACTCTAGTACCTTTTGTATTTCAGGTACTGTGTCAGGCCTCCTATAGGAAATGAAGGACACTATTAATAATGGATTCAGTACAATATGGTAGGTGCTAGGACAGTGGTATATACAGAGCCCTCTGAGTCAAACAAGGGCATCTATAGGCAGTGGTATCAAGGATGGCTGCCTGGAGTTGCAGGTACTTGTGCCGAGTCTTGAGGACAGGTAACATTTACTCATTCCACACATATTTATTGAGTGCCTTCTTCGGAACCAGGCTTACCTTTGGGCATACTGTGGAGAAACTAAACAGACATATACACTGCCCTCATGGAACTTGCAGCCTGGGAGGGAGCACAGACAAAAAACAAATAGTCTCCAAGTAAAAATATGTGATAAGTGAGGGAAAAATGCAAAGCGCTATAGGAGCATTGCAGCTGGACCAAAATTTTTATTAATTGCTCAAGGTAAATGTTTCTTTGAAGAAATGGCATTTGAGCTGACTTCTTGTTAAGCAGAAGTTAGCTAAGCAAGGACAGTGAGAAGAGAGTATCCCAGATCACAAGAACAGAGTTTCCTTTATTTTATTCAAAGAACTTCGGTCTAAAAAATGCAAAATAAGGAAAATGGGATTTTACGTCATTAACTTTACTGAGCATTTTGTTAATTTAAAATTTTAGAACTCAGCCAAAAGTGCAGATTTGAAAAATAATATAAAAAGAGCCTGAAAAATGCCTTTATTCTTTTTAAATTGTTTCCTCTGTTTTTAATTTTTAATATTTATGGGTAGATAGTAGATGTATATATCTTTTGAGTACATGAGATATTTCGATACAGGCATGTAATGTGTAATAATCATATCAAGGTAAATGGAGTATCTATCACCTCAAGCATTTATGATTTCTTTGTTACTAACATTCCAGTTATAGTTTTTTAGTTATTTTAAAATGGATAATAGATTCCTACTGACTGCAATCATTGTGTTGTGCTATCAAATACTAGATCTTATTCATTCTAAGTATATTTTTGTAGCCTCTGTGGTTTTACTTATTTATTTTTAAATTATCAAAGAGGAGCAAGAGGTACTTTAGAAATAGTTGCCCAGAATGTTGTTTGTGTTTTTCAATTATGTAGTCGCTTTGGATTTTATGATTTTATTGCCATTGGGTTTTTTAAAATTTTCACACATCAGCTTATATTTGGTTCAATGCAGCCACTGAACACTGTAAAATACACATAGACTATACCCACTGTAGAATTATGACCTTTCCGACTTTTCCCTCTTCAACAAACTTTTCTATTTATTTTTCTCTAGCCATGATAATTTACTCTTTCCAGATTGCATTCTTTGTCCATCTCCACTTTCAGTACATTTATGTTCTCAGTCAGTATTACCATCATGCAATACAGCGCATTCATTAGGTCTCCGCTTCTGGTCTTCAGTGATGCAAATGCTTTCTCATGTGTAAAAGGGCAAAGACTTTCATTTGGTTTTTAATCTAAGAGGGCAATAGATAAATCAGTTTCTAAACCAAGACCTCCAAGTCTTCTTTGAGGAACTGACATTTAAACTGAACATTAATGAAATTGGCCGTGTAGTAACAAGAGAGAGAAGACACTCCAAGAGAATAAGGGAGAGACAGACAATTCAGGCAGTGGGACCTGGCATGTACAGAATGAAAGCATTGACTCATTCAAGGAACCGTTGTTAGTTTTGAGGGCTATACTGAAGGGTAAATATGGATAAAAAAGAAACAGAGGTGTTTCAGTGTTTGTTTTATTCAGAGGAAGGAAACGAGAGAAAGAAAGATGAAAGAATGATCAATTCTTATAGTGAATCTTGTGGCTTTGTCTCTCCAGCATCAGTTCTTGCTTCATTTTGCAATAGCATCCCAGTTT